ACATATGTACAAATGTGTCTGACACAATGGATGGATGGATGGATTATGATAAGAGCAGTATGCACCCCAATAAAATGATTTAAAAAGAAATAAAGAATTAGTCTCAAAAGTCACAGGAGCAGTTCTACCCTGTCCTATGAGGTTGGACTGATTCAGAACTGAATCCATGGAGTGAGTGACCTTTGTGCCAGGCATTCCTATTGGGATTTGGATACATCAATGAGCAAAACAGACAAGACCCCTGTCCTCCTGGAGCTTTCTATCTTGCATGTGTGTGTGTGTGTGTGTGTGTGTGTGTGTGTGTGTGTGTGTGCATCTCCATTATCCAAAACATGTTCTATGAAACAGGATGTATGATTCTGATGTTTGGTGAATCATGGATGTACTATAAATGCTCAATGTCCTATGCATATTCAACAACATATATCAAAGATGGTGAATAATGGATGTACTATAAATGCTCAATGTCCTATGCATATTCAACAACATATCAAAGAAACCCTTGCACCTGCTGCTACCCTCCCCTACTCGTGTTGCGACTATGGCTTTTCCTTAGTGTCCAAGCCTCAGGGTTTGCAAATGTAAACCTTCAATTAGCTGTCTGTAGGCATGCTGTACTCTCCAGCAGCCAGGTGGAGGCTGGTCAGAACCACAAGTCCTCAGATGCACAGAGCAGAGATGCTGTGGTCCAGCATCTCATCGCAACCCCTCACCTGCTGTGTTGGGCACACAACTACAGCCGGGCTACAAGCTGCACTAGGGCTCATGGTCTGCAACCAGACCAGGCAGCTGTGGGAGCCTAATGCTTGCTGCTGTATCATGGGGGGAAAGTGCTGGTCTTGCCTGCACTCTCCCTTCCAAGCAAACCTCTCTTCCAGAAACCACAGATGCATATACAGTTGGATGCTGCCCACATGAATGCTATGCAGTATATGATATATATTTTGACTGCAACTTTCTGGCTCTACTGTCTCTGCTTTTAATCATTCTGTTATCTATAAAATCAGGCTCTCTAATAATGGCTGAATAAATAAATGTTTGAGTATTTATAACGATGTTTGCGATGCCTTTCCCCATCCTTCCTATTTTAAACCTAACATTTGTGTTCTGTTTTGTTTCAATGTTTTCTAATGTGCACACTCATGCACGCACAGATACACACAGGGGTGCTTCAAAAAGCTCATTGAAAATGGAATTAAAAGATAATGGAATTTTCCTATGGACTTTTAATATACATATGTACACATAATATTTGCACACACTTCATTTTTATTCCTTTGATTTCAATATTAATTCAAGTGTCACATTCATATGTTCTTGATGTTTTATGCCAGAAGTGTCACTTATTTCGTTACAACTAATTCCATATCAGCTCTTTCTAAATCTCTCTAGAAGCAAGGTAAAAAGTAGTGAATTATGTAATATGGTTCTTCTAGCCATAGCTTTTGTTATTCCTATCAAGAGACCTTCATTCTCCTGATAAGTCTGGAGGTGGCGGAAGATCCTGGTTGGATGATAGGACTCCGCTGTGAGTAACTGTTCACAGGGTTCATTGTGAGTGCCATCCTGCTGGGTATAAAGGTCGTTGTCTCAGAAGCCAGATAGCGGATTTCACAGCAAGAAAGAAGAGCCAGGTATGGAGTATATCCTGATCTGTGAGCCCCCTGGATCCAGAAGACACCTTTGGCACACAGCAGGAGCAACATCAGAACCAGGAGCCAGAGTCTGGTAGAATACTGGACTGTCCAGCCCACGGCACAAGTACAGTAGAGTGCTTGGAGGTAGGTAGGAGGTGACTTAGGGAGTAGGGTGCCTCTGGCCATGGATTTGCTGGCCCATGGAGCTGTTGCTGAGGCTAATAGTGGAGTGATGTGTCCTTTGAACATTTATTAGCAGCCCTAAAAGAGCTTTGTCACACTGCCCAGACAAGGCAGAGGGCAGGCCCAGAGGCTCAGGGCCAGAGAGAGGCCTGCTTGCAGCCATGTCAGAGAAGAGGCTCACCTGCATTGTCACTTGCTGGCTTCCTCAATAAGACTCTTAACCATGATCATTGTCTGGGAGTTCTGTGTGGCCACTGCAATGAATTATCACACCCACCCATAGGAGTAGAGTGTCAGAATAGAACACGAAGGGATAGAGGTGAGAGGCATGTCTGCCTTCTACCTTGTGCAGCCAGCCTCCGGAGCTGGAGGAAGTCAGATGGCATGCCCACTTCATTCCCTTCTATTCACACCAGGTTAACCTCGTGTATTTTAAGTCATTAAAAATTAACATTAATTAATGATCAATTTAACATTAATCATTCTCAGTTGATTAAGCCATTTTATCATGATAACAGGACTATATACTAAGAGATTTTGCATTGCTGATTATTAATATTATCTCACTCTTCATTCATTAAAATAAAGCTCTACTCTTTAACACTTGTGGAGGTTGAAAAGAAGGTCACTTAAGTTTGCTATGCATGCCATTGAGAAAAATTCCACTGGGGAATAAATATCAGTATTTCAAGAAGAAATACAAGAAGGTATAAGCTCCTTGGCATTTCATAAATATCAAATACTCACATCCTCTAGCAGCAGTTCTGATTCTGCCTCGGATTTTCCTGGGAACCGGATCTTCATGTCCTTGAGAACAAATAAGGTCTGACTTGTCAGATCATCCTCTTGCTCCTTTGTTTTCAGTTGCCGTAAGGACTCACTCTTAAATTTGAAAAGAGACAGATGTTTGGAGGAGAGCTTATACCATTATGCCACTATGATCTAAAAGGTATTTCCAAAGAAAACTGAGATAAATGTAATTGAAAAAGACAAATAGGGAAGAAACCATAATTTTTAATTTACGGTAGGTGGATATAAAAAATTGTAATGAAGATGCACTTTACTGCATGAAATATTGATATTATAAACTCTTTTTAAGTAAGTAAATCCCTAGGTTTAAATAGATATGAATTCCTAAGGGTGTCTTTCACACTTCTACACAGTTGTATTTTATATTGAGTTCAAAATACTTAAAATATGAATGTTTAAGAAGAATATTATGGTCGGATTCATTTGCTACGTGTACCTCAGGCCAGTCCTCTTGACTAGAACAAGAATAATATATTGTTGCTACCAAGTAAAATTCATTTGCATATATATCTTTATTCTTTTCTTTGAAACACTATCCATTATTAAATAAACAATTTAATAAGTCTCTGGCTATCTGAAGGCACATAATGCTTTCTATTTGATCATTTATAAGTAAGTCTGGTAGCAAAATAAGGTCACTGATTGTCTCTTATAGAATGTCTGGTATTCCTGTTTAGGAGGGAAAGTATATGTTGATTTAATATATGAGAACATTATAACTGATTTAAGATAGGAAGTTAAGAGAGGCATTTGACCTAAGGTAAAATGGCTGAAGTAGTGTTAAGTTTCAGAATATCTTTTCACACAAATTCAAACCCTGTTGCTTAGGAACCAATCCTGTTAAGGAAGTGTTTTCTTCATAGTCAGACAAGAACGTTGCTACCATACATCTTGGAGTCTGTAGCCAATTCCTTATTGAAACGTTGGTCCCCAATCTCCCTGTGACCTTATGTTCTGTGAAGAGTTATTGTCAACCTCCTATTCCTGAAAATATCCATCGTGCCCCTGTTTTGTGACTGACCAAGACACTTCCTCTGGGACCCCATATCTTATCATTCTGTTATGTAGCCAATCAATATATCCCAGTTGTATTACTACATGCAATGATTTTAATAATCGCGCTTCACTTTGTCCTATCTTTAACTGATCCTCACTGATGTAAGCCAGTCAGGATGTTGCACTTGGCAGCTAGTCACGTGGCACTGATTCTGTGTGGCTTGCACCGCCCTCCCTGGCCCGCCCTCCTGGGGCTTGTGAGCTTCGGACTTTCAGGGTTTCATGATTCCCCATTTGAATGATATTTTGAGTTCAATAATTCTCTGATTTTACCTTAATAAAATTTTCCCTAAAAGGTTAGAATAATCTACCATTTCAAATCAAAAGACCGGCATTTGCCCAAGTGTCAAGCTCAGCAGGCAGGAAGGACTAGGAAAGAAGGACGGATGGAAATGGGAAACAAAGGGCAGGGGGCCAAGTGATGCTGCCTTGTGCAGACTGCAATCAACGCAACAGAATGTGCACATTTTTTAAGAAATCTGATTGCTCTGAAAACCTTCATCTAAGGCATAATAAAAAGTTTTTAAAAATAGAGTACTTAAATATTATAAGTAAAATTTACATGGATTATTTTAACCTATTAATCATGTGACAGTTACATTGTATAGGATTTGTCATACAGCAAATTTCCCTAAAACTACAGATTAACTGCAAGACACTGCAAAACTATACATTTACTCAGATGTTTCTCAACAGAAGTATCCTACTACATCAGCAAATGGAAAAGGATCGTAATGCTATTCTCCTTGCCTGTTCTTGATTTCTATGACATGGGGAATTTTGACCTTTAAAAGCCTCCTCCTAATCCATGGTTCACTAAATAGAAGAGTACTCAAATTCAGAAGGCTGCGAATCGAATTACAGAAAGAACCTGAGGTTCAGTCTGGCCTCCTTCCAGCTGATGGCTTTTGCCACCTCTTTCTGAGTCAGGTGCTTCTGGGAACCTTGAGAGAGTGCGATAGAAGACTTACCACCTGCGCGTTAGTAGAGCTGGAATCATTGCTTTGGGGCAGGTGCCTCATATAGGAGGAAGCACGGTTTAGGGAATGTGACCGGACCCCGGAAGTTGGTCGGGATGCTGAGAGCATTTGTTGAGCAGAAAAAGGGCGGTTTTCCCCAGTGGAAGGTGACTGAGCAGAGATGGACCGAGGGCAGCTGACTGACCGTCTCATGGAGTCTGTTGACGATGGATAAGTGAGATAAGAGAGTAGCCTTGTCAGTGGACGTTTCCTGCTGTATTGGGTCTACACAGACTAAGGATTAGTGCAGAATGACTATATATGTCAAAGCATAGGCATCATCATAAGACTGTGAGTTTGAAAGGAATACACTACTGTGAAATATGAAGAACTGGAGAAATACTCTAATATTTGATTACTAGTACTTTAACCCTGTGCTGTAGAAATATGAACATAAAAGAGCCAGAAAGACAAATTACTTGAAAGTCTAGCTACTATGCCAGACACTGTGCTGAGCATTACATTGTATCTTAATCCTCACAGAAAATCTCCAGTGAGGAATATTTCTTCCTTTCTCCTCTATGCCTTTTATGAATGAAAAACACTGAGGTTCAGAACTCACCATGCAAGACAGGGGCCAGGTTGAGGTTTAAATGCTAATAATCTCAATGGCCTTTATCTATGATACCATAATGCCATCCATTTCCCTCTGCTATTAGGTAGACTCTGTTCATAGTTTCAAGACTGAATAACTTACAGAAAGAGTCATGGAGAGAGAGAGAAACTAGTCTAGTGAATGGCCAGGCTAAATGGATAAATTACAGATTGTAGGAACCTTGAGGAAAAATAAATAAAATAGAAGAAAACCCTAAAGAGTATTTTAATGGAGTTTAACTATATAATAGGTTATTAGAAGAGCAGAAGGCCAGTTTTAAAATGTGAACATTGCCAAGGGCATTAACTTATTAAACCACTGCTGGAGAGCGAACAAAAAAAAAAAGGCCCACAATTCCATTTATTGCATTATTGAACCAATCTCTTTAGTTGAGCCCTGAAATAAAACACCAGAGCACAAGGTAGATAGGAGAAAGAGACTGGATATAAGGAAGTCCTGAATACGAGGCAGTGTATCAAAGAGGTGTCATTGTAAGCCCGAGCAAACAGAAATGTCGGGCTGGATTTTGGGGTATCAAAAAGAATAATGGACACAATATTAAGTGTCTTTCAAGGTTGAAGAAAAAAATGAAAGATGAGAAAAAAAAGAAGTGCAAACAACAGCAGAAGGAAATAAAAAGGAAAGAGAGAGAATGGATGGCTGGTTGCTTCCCTGAATACTTCCTGTGTACCCAAAGCCTGACCCCGATGCTAACCCAGGAAGAAAATGAGAGGGACAAAACCTGAACTGCTTCACAAATGGGTTGGTCAGAAACACTGTCAAGTCGAATACATGGAGAGATAGCCATTGTCTTTAGAAAAATGGGTAGTAGTATAAATAAAGCACAGTGAGTAAAGAAGTAGGGAAAGAAACTGTATTTGTCTAAAAGAGAATGCAATCAGCAGAAAAGCCATGAGACAGATTTTTAAAATAAAATTATATCAGAATTTAACTCTTAACAAAACTAAAATATAGGAGACTGGATGATGCCACTACTGCCATCAGGCCGATTCGAGCTCCCAGCAACCCTGTATCCAGAACCAAACTGGGGCCTAGCGCATCTGAAGCTGCGAGCCTGTACACCCTTCTCCGACAGAGCAGCTGCTGAGCATTCTGTAGTTACGGGAAACATTGCTTGTTTGTACTCTTTTCAATCGGGTGGGGAGAAAACTAGATATTCGAAGAGTTGAACTAGTTTGTGTGGCTGAGAGAACTGCCATCAAGTCGATAATGACTCAGAGCAAGTCGACGAAAGAGTTGCAAGGCTGGAGCAGCCGGCCTCGACTCCCTTCCCAAGAGCAGCGGTTGGGTTCAAGCCCTGCTCTTGTGGCGAGCAGGCCAATGTTCATGCACTAGCTCCTCAGAATGGACTACAGGCATTCTTCATTCAACGCTTTCATTTTCCACTTGCAGAATCTGAAAGGCGTTGAGGATAACGAACATGTCCTCACCGGGTCAGGGGTAAAATTGGGATAGGTTTTTTTATTGAGTTTA